ACTGGTGACGGGACCACTTCCGTGATCGTACTTGCCGGTGAGGTTATGGCTCAAGCTCAGCCATTTCTTGAGCAAAAAATCCATCCAACCATCATAATCCAGGTTTGTCGTGGTTTTCGAGTGCTGTTCATAATTAAAGTGTAGCACTCCTGTATAGGCTTATCGTGCTGCATTGGAGGATATGGTAAAGCTCGCTGAGGAGAAGTACAGTAAGCCTGTAGATATCAATAATGAAAAGGAGGTAAGTGCCCATAGCAAAATCACTTTCGACTGCAGAAAAATATATCATTTCGGGTCACCACTGTGGTTCAATCTTGTCTTGGAACGAAAATGATAAGTAAATGGATGGATCTCGCAGTTCAAATTTCCCTTGATGCTATCAAGACTATCAGAGTTGAGAAAGGAAATACAAGCGAAATTGATATCAAAAGGTAATTTTGAACATTTACAGTGATATAGTATCTTCATGGGTTGACACGAGTTATTTTGGAAATCTAAGATGAAGCTTGCGATTAGAAGAGATGAGTAAAGCTTTTTTAAAAATGATGTTTTTCACCGCAGGTATTGTCGCATTGAAAAAATCCCCGGCGGGACAATTGAAGATTGTAAAGTCATCAAAGGAGTCGTGCTGAATAAATTAAGTGTATTTTCTTACTTTTTTCATTATCCTGCAGTACCTAGTAACTTTTCAGGATGTAACCCATGCAAAAATGCGCAGGCGTATAGAAAATCCACGCATTGTGCTACTTGATTGCAATCTGGAATATAAGAAGGGTGAGTCACAAACATCGTTGGAAATCATGAAGGAGGAAGACATAAGCAGAATTCTTGAGCAGGTTAGTCGGAGCTTTTGGAAAACTTCGGGGAGAGCTTTGCCTTAGTTGCTTTTTTCTTTACAATTTTGAGGATATTTAGGAAGAGGAATCCATAAGGAAACAGTGTGATGATATCATTCGTGTGAAACCAGATTTGGTGTTTACGGAAAAGGGAATATCTGACTTGGCTCAGCACTTTTTACTCAAAGCTGGTATCACAGCAATCCGACGTTTGAAGAAGACCGATAACAATAGGCTGGCAAGGCTAGTTTATTTTCGAGCTTCTACTGCTTCAAACCACTACTCGTACCTACACTTGATCTCAGTAATTTCTCAAC